TTGCTATTGCTATTGCTATTGCTATTGCTATTACCAACAAATAAAGTATTTACTTTATAAAAATAACAAATTTATTTTTAAATCAGCCCAGTGAAACAGTGATGTTAATAATTAGTGATTCAGCAAACTCAGTCAAAATGTAAATTGCCAGTGTTGTACTGTAGTAACACTCTATATGTTTACATATATATTTGTGCACATACAAATTTTCTAAACACCTGCTAAAAACATGGACTGCTAATTGTCCACTTCAGCAGTAAAAGTAAATGCAGTCATATTACAAACAACAACAACAACCCAGTTCTCCCTAACCAAAGTTTAAGAAGCTGGAATATATATCTGAGGGCACACAAGATGTTACTCTATGTCAGTTCCAGACTGCATATACATGCTGGCCAAATGATTTTTGGACTTCTGGAGGATGGGGGGAGGCAGTTTTTACCCTCCCCAAGCTTCAAGAAAGCCTCTGGATGGTGAAAAATGGCCCAATGGGCCTACCCAAAATCCGAAGGTTTCAGTGAGGCCTGCGTGCATGCGTGAGGGAAGCAGGGGGGGGGTTGTGCACGCATGCGCAGGGAGAGGGCATTGCATTATGGCTATGGCGCGCACCGTTTTGGCACCCGTGCAGAAAAACGTTCACCATCACTGCATTATATTGTTTGTGATCCTTCCATTAACAATACTGCAAATAGTGCTTTATTGAAAATTCTACCTTGTTCAGGGCTAGTGTTCACTGGGAAGTTTGTTAAGCATCAGTTATTGTTATTCTGTTAAGCTCTGCAAATAAAACAGCTGGAACCACAATCAAGCAGGACTAATGGGTAGCTGCAGGAAGGTAAAAGAGTGCTCTCCAGGAAGGCAATTCGGAAAAACGGTAGGTGGATGCCAAGCCTACACACAGTAGAAAAAATAGACTGGAAGGAGGAAGATCAGTTTTGGGAAAAGCAAGAGGGAACCGAAATCAGATTGCTAGGGATCTATTACTTCTCGCCCTGGAAGGAAAAGAAGAGCAAGCAGCAGGGAATTTAATCACCAGAAATATTCCTTTTGCAAAGTTTAAGAGGTGCTTGTGAAATTGAAACAACATAATTTTGCACAACAATCTTTTTCCCCCCCAGAAAACATAAATGACTTGGCAGAGTATCTTGAACTGTGGGATGATTCCTGGCTATTTGGCTTCACTGCCTGGCTTAAAGCTCAAGAGGTCATCTTTCCTAGATTTGCCTGTACAACTGACAAAGTATGAATCTGTGAGTGAAGTCTTTGTTTGGGGAGGGGAGTTTGGGTGCGGGGTAGCCAGACATTAGTTATCCTTCCGAAAAGGGAGTCTCCTTTTATCCTTAGCAGCATTCCTTTTCCTCTTCTTGTTCAGGAAACTCTCCAGCTTCCCACTTTTCTTCAGATCTTTGTATTTCTCAGCAAGTTCCAATTTCTGCATTTCAGCTGTAGATGTCAAGAAGGGATGGAGGTTTTAATTCAAGCCATAAGTGTTCATAATACCCCAAGCAATTATTTTCTATAATCTACTCTTTTTGCTTGCCAACATCATCTTTCAACTTGGTCCTATAAATCATGTGATGCAGTTTGGTAACTAATTGCTATGAAAATAACAGGTAAAAACTCATTCAAATACTGGCAGTGGCTATCCTAAACCACTCCTCATTCAATACTTTTGAGAATAATTCAATAATTTAGAAAATGATTCAATAATTTAGAAAATGATTCAATAATTTAGAAAATGATTCAATAATTTAGAAAATGATTCAATAATTTACAGAAAGTAAATGCTGCTGGTGCAGGCATGTTGGATGCCACACTCATACACACTGTTTGCAGCAGAAACAGTGCTACCAATCGATCCAACCTTTGTAACAGATGCCACCAAGGGCTCCACTGATTTGGTGATGAAGACGAAGATACACACAAATAAATTCCTTATTCTTCAATCTGTACAAATCAACTAGCCGAAACAGGTCTTCTAATATTTACTATTAATACAGGAAGGGGATCATATTAAGGTTAAGGCCAGTAGAGCAGCTATTATCTTAAAGTGGGAAAAGCTTACATTTCTTTAGGAAGAAAGGCTTCTTTCCTTGCTTGGCCAACTCTCTTTGCTGTCTCTTGAATGCCAGGGAATTTTCTCTCTTCTTCTGGCATTTTCTCTGTGCTTCTTCCTGTTGTGTCTAAGGAACAAAGAGGGGAAAGAAACAAAGATGTTGCATTTTTCCTCTCCCCAATTTGCCTCATGGCTTTATGATCAATGCTCTCTACAGCTTTGTTTCAGCTAGTTGCCTGTACTTCAGAAGGGTAAACAGGCTGTTTAAATTCTCTTTGGCACCAACTCACCATTCGCTTAAGGAGCTGCTGCAATTTGTTCTGCTCTTCTACATTTTGGCTTTTCTTCAGTTGCTTCTGAATAACCTGCAAAAGAGGAAAGCACCAACTCTCTAGGGATACCTGTTTTCATTCTGAAGGAAGAAACACAGGACACTGTTACATTATTACCTCTTTCTCTTTCTTCCTCACATCATTTAAGAAACTATATGTTTTTTCAAATACTTCTGGTTTATATTCCCCAGAGAGGTCATCAAAACGAGGATCTCTGGACACCTGTGGAGGAGGAAATGGGATCAATACTAGCATCTCAGCAATGTCAGAAAATATTTGTATGTTCTAGAAAGTCCATGCTAAGGGAGCAAAATACCAGTCTAACCATATTCTTTTCTCTCATTTCATCCTCTTCAGCATTTTGCTTTTGAAATTAAGAGACTTCTCAAATATTGAAACCAAAATTATTCATTTCTTCCAAATAAGTTTCATGCTCAAATATTTCCCCCAGTATTTTTATCACTCGTTCTTTTCTTTTTTTTAACAACAAAGATCTGTTCTGTGTGTTCCAACACAAGAATACCCACCTTTTTCTTAACGGGCACGACTTGCCGCAAAAAAGGTACTGGCAGTTTGGCTGAAGTTTCCAAAGGCCTGCAGAACAGAAAAATAAACACAACCCCTTTGGTGGAAAAAAAAAGATTCATAGAATTTTACATATTTTGTGGCTTCATTCTTAAAATATTTCTCTGAATACAATAAATAAATATCAATGGGCATCAGGACACAAAATATATGCTTGGAATTGTTTTTGTGAGCCAAATGTCTTTCATTCACTAGGCTTTAGAAGGACTGAATAACCACAGTATACAGGCTTCTCTAAGAATGTGTTTCACAGAGGCAGCTTTGTATTGATCAGATAAGAATTGTTCTGTTAGTCAGTGGCCTGGTGTAACCTAATAGCCCAGACAGCTTCCTCCAAGCTCACACAGCTGTGCTTTGCAAAGAAGTTTCTAGCTTAAGCAAAGCTGGCAAGACTCTGTGACTAATAAAGGAAATCTAACTATATCCTTCAATATGCTTTTAGGATTTGCTGCATCCATACTACTGAAATCACTTTTCATCAACTAAGCCTATCCTCTCCTTCATAAAGAACTTTGAAACGAATTCCCCTATAAGGGATCTAGTCCATGGGGTTGTCAGCTGGAATTACCTGAACCTTGCAGAGAGGAGACACTTGCAAAATCCAGTAATATCTCAGAATTTAAGACTGCATTGCAAGTCATAAAACTAACAACTTCTGGCTACAGCCATTTCCAGGAAGACTGGCTTTTCAAGGTTACTTTTGAAAAAAATGATAAGTCTAATTTTTTGAAGTGTGAGCTGTCCTCTTCCTTTTCTGGTAGCCATTATAAGAACTTCAAAATTTCATTTTTCTTCAACCCAATCCTTTAAAATTTAAGTTTAAAAGCAGGGTTGCCTTGTTTTTGGTGATCCAGGGTCCTATTTATTAAAGAGCAGGACAAATGTATTTTAAATAAATAAAATCTAGCTTTAAGGGAAGAAAATGCCCAACCCCTTAAAACTCTTAAAAGGGGAGATTAAAGAGAAAACACCATTAATGTAAGTCTGGCTTTAATATCTTAAAGTACAGTTGACATCAAGAGCCTCACTAGCTTCAGAAGATATCATCTGTTACAATTACAACTGTTAATAATTCTCTTAAAATAGCTATATATTCAATTAGTGTGTATCATTTTTCTAAACCTCTTGCTACATATTATCAGCGTATAGAATTTCAGTTGATAAATGGCCTTCCTTTTAACTAATTATTGATTAATCATTAGATTCAAATGCATGGCAATCTACGAAAATCTCAAAACTTTTTTGAGGTGATAGAGGAAATGCAATCTGCCTGCTAAATTTTAATTTGTCTGTCATTGTCAAAAGGGAATTCTTTAATGATTTAATTTTCCTTTTTTATTCATAATGCAAGCCTATATTGTCTTGAGGAATAAGGACACGGATCCCTAATTTTTCATTATTGATTGAAATTACATTCACCACATAAATTACACATGTCAAGTTAAGCATGTGTTCTATATAGTAAATTCTAGTGAGCTTTACAAACTTACTATATAGTAAACTTACAAGCCCTCCAAATTTACAGTATAGTAAACTCCAATCACTTTTACAACCCAAACAATGCAATAAATTTCCCTGACAGTTTTTTTAGGCCTTGGATGGGACACTGCAAAATTGGTAACAGGATTAGGATTTCATTTCATTTTGATTCAGATTTAATTAAATATAATGAATGTGATTCCTCCCTATTTTCACTTTATGATGTACTAAAATAGAATTTGATAACAGCTTTTCGAGACCGCTGGGTGTCCCACCTAAGTTTTGAGGAGGTCAAATGCCAACCTGAAGCACCAGATTATGCAACTGTGATTTAAAGCATACTTCAGAGGGGAAAATGAACTCAGAAGACCAATGCACCCCATAAAATCAAATCAAAATCTTCTAGTGCTCCCTATCAAAGTAATGAGAAAGCAAAGGGAACCCCTATGCCCGGGATGGCAAACCTATGGCAGGTGTTGCCCTGTCAGCAGGCCAGATTAATTCAGCCATTTTTAAAGCCATTTTTTGCCCTCCCCAGGCTCCATAGGCTTTATAGGAGCCTGGGGAGGGCGAAAAGAGTCCCCTGCCCCCCGGAGGCCCTCCAGAGGCTTCGGGAGCTTCCCTGAAGCCTCTGGAGCGCAAACAACCGGCCCTACAGGCAAACTGGAAGTTTGGGAACAGACTTCCGGTTTGCTCATAGAGCTGGTTTAAGCCCTCCGGAGCTTCAGAAGCCTTCTCTGAAGGCTCCGGAGGACGAAAAACGACCCACGGACAAACCAGAAGTCACTTCCGGTTTGGTCATAGGGCTCTTTATAGTCCTCCAGAACCTTCAGGGAAGCCTCCTGAAGGTCCCGGAGTGCAAAAAACAGGCCCTATGGGCAAACCGGAAGTCCGTTCTTAAACTTCCAGTTTGCCCGTAGGGCCCGTTTTTTGCGCTCCAGAGGCTTCAGGGAAGGTCCTGAAGCCTCCCCCACCCCCTCTGGAGGGCCTCCAGGGGGGTGGGGGAGGCTGTTTTCACCCTCCCCCGGCTCTTATAAAGCCTCTGGAGCCTGGGGAGTGTGGAAAAAGCAGGCAAAAAAATGGGGGGTCATGCCTGTCATGCGCGCATGCACGCTGGTATGTGTGTGTTGGGCATTGCATTATAGGTGCGGCAGAACCGCGCATGCCCCCTGCGCTCACCCCGCTTATGGCACGCGAGCCAAAAAAGGTTCGCCATCACTGCCCTATGCTGTCCTTAGCTAAGTAAGTTTCATAGTCAGATACTACATTTCCCTGGAAGCATATACAAACCATATATATCTGATCCTTGGCAATTATCTCCTTGGGCATTCAAGGTAATTGAGAGACTGAAGCAAAGAATCATTTCAACTCTATTAATTTCCTATGAGGACAGGTTTATAGATACTACAGAGTAATTCTTGATCTTGCCCTATTGTTTTAGATACAACTGCCTAACAATTCTTTTATTGTTCTGTTAATATAAGAATAATAGTGAATAAATATGAAAATTGAAGAAAGTATTTTAATTCTATTGGCATAGTTAGATTCTAATAGACTGATTGTATTTCAGTAATTCCGCTCTCTGTGGCAAATTAATTAATACAATCAGAGTATTGAGCAGACAAAAACACTAATAAAAAGCATTCAGACTGTGAATCTAATTACACGCTTTTATTGTTCCGTTTCCTTTCTACCTGCATTATCTCTAGAGAAGATTTCATTTTTCTTAGAAGTGAAAAGGCAAAATCTGTAACTCATTATGGGGATACTACTCAATATTGACAAGGGATGAAAATTTCAAACATACGTGACTCCTCTGATTGAAGGTGCATTTTCATATTTAGCGAGAATCTTATTTAACGTGACTCCCTAGGAAGCATGTTTAGATCAGAATTTATATTCATTTAAGTAATTTTTTTTCAGGAAACATTACACTAAAATGACAGAATTTGAGAGTTATATAAACTGCACTCAAGATTAAGAAAAAAGTAAGTGTGGCTTCCATACATTTAGGAGGAAAGCTTTTGCACTGATAAAATGTTTGTAGTACCTGCTTCCAAATCTTTAACGAAACCAGAACATCTCCTGAGCTTGCACAGTCTCAGGAAAATATGCATTGGGGAAGCCTCTTAATGCCTTAGAGGGCATTAGGTCATAAAAGATAGTAGCACATAGGACTTTGTGCGAAATCCATTCTTAACAGCAGAGAATATAGGCATCCTCTGAGGATTTAAACTGGGTTCTACAGCATCCTAGAGTTCTATAAGGCCTTGAGTGGGTTCCGGGAAGGACTAAGCGGGAAAAGAACTCTCAAATTCAGTGATGCTGGACATACCCAAACATCTGCTCTTTTCCTCTCATTGGCTGCATGTCATCAGTATTTGCCTACCCTACCATTCGTAAGTGATCTGTGAAGCAAGTTCTGGCTGCCTTTCCTTCATTCCACTTTTCTCTCTTCCCACATGCACGAGCATACAACTGAACTTCTTGCCTGACTCCAAACTTCAACAAATAATTTCCTCATCAGCCCATGTTTTCTAAAGGACAGCTGAAAACAGAGCTAGAGATCCAGGTGTTTCTTGTAACTTGACCCAAGAGCAATTTTTGTGTGTCTCTTCTTCGTTTCCCATTTTGCAAACTGTATTTGTGTATCTCTAAAGGAGAATATTTGTAGCTCAGAGTTAAAATGAGGGGTCCTTTAAGCTGGCCTCTTGCAGACACACATGCATGTACAAATAGTGTGTGTGGGGGGTGTCCTTGGTGCTCTCTGGGCTTGTTTTCTTGCAGACATTTCATTACCCTAACTAGGTAACATCATCAGTGTTAGTAAGGAGCAGTGATGATGTTGCCTAGTTAGGGTAATGAAATGTCTGCAAGAAAACAAGCCCAGAGAGCACCAAGGACACCCCCCACACACACTATTTGTGTATGCATGTGTGTGTCTGCAAGAGGCCAGCTTAATCATCAGGTGACATCCTGTGCACACCAACTTAAAATTAAACCCAACTGAGCCACATAGGAATTAATAAAGAATGTTTGGTTAAAATTCAAGGGTTTGTTATTTTGTTTGGGAAAGCAAATATTAA